TGTTTGGAATCATGAATGATTTTTGTTCCACTTCTCACGTGTGCACCACTTTGTGTTGGTCTTTCACGTGGAATTCCAATAAAATTGATTCATGTTTGTGGCTGTAATATGAGAAAATGTGGAAAAGTTCAAGGGGCCGAATACTTTTGCAAGCCACTGTAAATACAGATAAAACAGGAACTTTGATTATTGCTCCTGACAATATGATTTCAGAAATTAAGCAGCATATCAGTTTTTGTTCAATCATGTCTCAGAAATTTTGGCATTATATTTGACAGTTAAATGTCACTTGAGAATCACTACAAACAACTGGTTCAGAACTGTTTTATGATCTAAGAAACATTTCCAAACTCAGACTACTGGTGTCAAAGGCGGAACTTGACATGATTATTCATGCTTTTATCTCTTCTCGTTTGGATTACTATAACGGACTTTTGACTTGTTTCAATAAATCAGTTTTGGATCGCCTTCAACTGTTCAGAATGCTCAGGCAGGACTTTTAACTGGCACTAGCAAGATATCGCACATTATTGCAGTTTTGACTTCTCTTCATTGGTTGCTGTTAAATTTTAGGTTTCATTTTAAAATTTTTGTTTTAGATTTTAGGGCTCTACATGATGAAGCCCCCCAGTATATCTCTGACCTGTTGAAACCTCATGCTTCTTCCCAAGTACGTACGTCTTGGGGTCGGAGGTTGCTGTTGGTCCCACGTACTGGTTCAAAACACATGGGGCTTTTCGGGCAGTGGCACCGAGGCCGTGGAATTCTCTTCCACTGTCTGTACACTGTGCAGCTTCTATTGACTCTTTTAAAAAGCAGCTGAAGATATTTCTATAGAGAAGAGCTTTAAATTAATTTGTTGATTTATCTTTTTCAATTCATTGTTTTATTGGTTTTATTGTTAGCAATTTGTGATTTTTATCTATGAAAAGTGCTATATAGATACATTTTACTTACTTAAAATATTAACTAATTAAAATGTTTTATGTAAGTAGTAAAATGGTAGGAGGTACAATAGTTTAATCCAGAGTAATGATGACAGGTGTGTAGCTGAAACACAAAATCTGGCTGTTTCCACTTGACCACCCCGCGAACTTTCATGGGGTGAACTTTAGTTTTTACTTACTACTGTCAGCGAAAGTGATTTTTAAAAGTGCTTCTCACACACTTCTTATTAATGTTCTCAGATAAGGTTGCAAAAAATATGTATAATTGTTGTTTTATGTAGTTTTACCCACTGTGCATACTGTGTCTCTGTGTGTGTTTCTCCTTTTTCCTCTACAGGAGAAATACAGTGGGACTGCGACTTTCTATGTCACATCTCCTGCACAGGGCACGCAAGTTCTCACTTTGACCTGACCTTTGTCAACACCTCTGCATTCCTTTAATTTGATTTTCTTTCTTTAATTTCATTAAGTGGTGTACTGCAATACACACTAATGTTGATTGAAAAGAGTTGGGCAAGTGCCTTTATTGTTGAAACATGTTTATAAAAAATACTTTGCTTAAGATGACTTGTAGCAACTGCTTAATATTTTTGATATGGAAATCCAGCTGGGTTTATTTACGATTTATGATTTTATATTGATCCCACATCTCTATTAATAAACCATGTTTCTAAAATGTGAATGTTTTCAGAACTTTTTTTTGTTTTAACTTGTTTTTTCATTTTAATTCTATATTGAAATGTGTCAGCTAATATTAGCACACAGATAAATTTCACTTAAATGTGAAGGTCGTTTCAGTGAACTTTGATTTTATGGGGTCAATATATGACCACTGACTGCTGAAGTTAATTTAGACAAACAGGAAAATTATTGTTCAATTATTTTATGAATTACTATTTATTTTAAGAAAAAAAGCTTCATGACATCTAACCAAGTCAAGATATCATCAAATCTTACATCAAGAGATGCCTTTATGAATAGAAATTACATCAAGGTGCAAACCACTAGTTAGAACAATTAACAACAAGAAGGTGAGAGTAGTCTGCACACAAAAAGAAGAAAAGGAATTAGCCCCACTAGAAGTCATTAGTATTACTGATTAAATATTTTTATTTACTTTTTTTCTTTTTTTTTTTACATGAAAATACATTTTTTGTCCTATACACTAACATTAAGGATTCATGAAAACAACACCTGGGGACATCAAGGAAATATCTTTTCATTGAGGATACTTTATTTAGCTTCATGTTCTGTGCCTCGATGTGTAAATAAAAAAAAAAAATGTTTTGTTATCACATTAGTTATAATAAAATCATATTTGATTCCCTGCTGAATTTTTGAGTTTAATCACTCATGGAAAAAACAAACAAACAACAATCTCTAGATTTTATGGTTTTTTTTTCATTATAATGGAGAACACCAATAACCAAAACAAAAACACAAATATTGCATCAAATATCAAATGAATTGATTTGCTTGGCTTTGAGTGAAATAAGTATTTAATCGATTACAGTCAGAATTCTAGCTCCCACAGATTGGTTGTGTGCCCATGTGGCACACAGATTAATTTTAAATTCAATTTCATTCTTATTTATATAGCACCAAATCACAACAACAGTCGCCTCAAGGGACTTTATATTGTAAGGTAGACCCTATAATAATACATACAGAGACAAAACCCAACAATCATATGACCCCCTATGAGCAAGCACTTTGGCGACAGTGGGAAGGAAAAACTCCCTTTTAACAGGAAGAAACTTAAGGCTCAACCAGGCTCAGGGAGGGGCAGCCTCAACCAGTTGGGGTGAAAGAAGGAAGAAAGGACAAGGGACATGCTGTGGAAGAGAGACAGAGATTAATAACAAGTGTTATTTAATGCAGAGAGGTCTATTAACACATACTGACTGAAGAAGAAATAATCAATGCATCATCCCTCAGCAGCCTACGTCTATTGCAGCATAACTAGGGGAAGATTCAGGGTCACCTGGTCCAGCCCTAACTATATGCTTTAGCAAAAAGGAAAGTTTTAAGCCTGATCTTAAAAGTAGAGATAGTGTCTGTTTCCTGAATCCAAACTGGAAGCTGGTTCCACAGAAGAGGGGCCTGAAAACTGAAGGCTCTGCCTCCCATTCTACTTTTAAATACTCTAGGAACAACAAGTAAGCCTGCAGCCCAAGAGTGAAGTGCTCTAATGGGGTGATATGGTACTACAAGGTCATTACGATAAGATTTTGAATTCAATTCTGGATTTAACAGGAAGCCAATGAAGGGAAGCCAATATAGGAGAAATCTGCTCTCTCTTTCCAGTCCCTGTCAGCACTCTTGCTGCAGCAGTTTTTCAGCGTCACTCTGAGACAGGATATTTCTAATTTTAGAGGTATTGCGCTAATGGAAGAAAGCAGTCCCACATATTTGTCTAGTATGTGCATTGAAGGACATATCCTGGTCACAAATGACTCCAAGGTTCCTCACAGTGTTACTGGAGGCCAAGGTAATGCCATCCAGAGTAAGAATCTGGTTAGATACCATATTTCTAAGCTTTTCAGGGCCGAGTACAATAACCTCAGTTTGATCTGAATTGGACTGGAATGGACCATCAGCAAGAAGTTTGGACAGAAGGTGACAACTTTCAAGGCAATTATTCAGAAATGAAAGAAATATAAAATGACCATGAATCACCCTCTGTCTAAAGCCCAAAACAATATATTGTTTCATGTGGTGCAGATGAGCATGAGAAAGGTGGTGGATCAGCCCCAAACTACACAGGAAGTGCTGAGGGCAAGTGGGATCCGTCACCCAGAACACTATTAGTAACACACTACACCATAATGAATTGAAATTTTGCAGTGTCTTGCTCAGGATAAGGGATATGTAAGGGCCCATCTAAGTTTGCCAGTGAACACTGACATAGTTCAGAGAGGGCTTGAGAGAAAGCACTCCCAAGTGGTCAGATGAAACCAAAATCAAGCTGTTTGGCCTCAACCTGACCTGCCATGTTTTTAGGACGACAAATGGCCTGTATTTGTATAGCGCTTTACTAGTCCCTAAGGACCCCAAAGCGCTTTACACATCCAGTCATCCACCCATTCACACACAGGTGATGGCAAGCTACATTGTAGCCACAGCCACCCTGGGGCGCACTGACAGAGGCGAGGCTGCCACCAGGCCCTCTGACCACCACCAGTAGGCAACGGGTGAAGTGTCTTGCCCAAGGACACAACGACAGAGACTGTCCGAGCCGGGGCTCGAACTGGCAACTTTCCTATTACAAGGCGAACTCCCAACTCTTGAGCCACGATCGCCACCAAATGCTGAGTATGACCCAAAGAACACCTTCCCTAAAAGCACCATCCAAATCTGACCAGTTTCCAGTGTATTAGTTACAAAGAGGTCTCTCTCCTCATTGAGAATTAAGATCTAGAACCTCTTAATTCTGTTCTGAGTCTTCTTCATTGGTATGGTAAATGCAAAAACTGACAGGCTGATATGGCTGATATATCTGAACAGTGTTTATGGTAAAACATTCAGTGCTGTGTAAAAGTCTTTGTGTAATTTTTAACAGTGGTATTTGTCTGATAGTATTGCTATCCACAGTTTGTTTCCACTCAGTGGTGTTTTCTAGTTAGGAAACAATCAGACAAACAGGAGTTTTAAAGGATTACAGTTAAATTTGTAATCCTATGCCACATGTCACTACAAGAGTGTGATTAAAGTGGCTCATTTACATTTTGAGAGAAGCCAGTTGAGTCTAATAATAGTGTTGATGATATAATTTTCACCATGTACATATGCACAGATCCGATAGAAACTCAAAGTAAAGGTCAGGTGGTAGATGGATAAAAAAAAATAACAAACTCTGCTTCGTCGATAGTCACGTTTTGAAGGGTTTAGCCAGTTTCTAGAAATGAATGTTAGTCCTTCCAAAGTGGGATAGATGCTGTCTCTTCTAACATCACCAGATTTTCCCCAGGAACTTTATCAATTACCAGCCTACATGCGGCTAGATATGCCGCTCTTGGTTCGTCGTTTTCAACCAAATTTCAAAGCAAACCACTGACCGGACGTCTGCACACGTTTACGAGGTGTGCTTGAATGTGTCATGAGGGCGGAGTTAGCACAGCAGTGAGGTTTAGCCTAGCAGGAAATACTGAGGCTAACCACCGCAGCGGTGGAAAACAAAAACCAGCCAACCCAGTTTTAGTTCCTTATAGATCTTTAGATGTGATAGTTGCTCAACAAGAAGCCTGTCGCCTGGATTCCGGGAATACTTATTCACGGCGTGTCTACGTCTTCCTCGACTCTGGAAGGGGAGAGATACCTCTTTGTAACTAATACACCGGGAACTGGTCGGATTTGGAATTTCTTTCAACGGCTGTAAACGGTGCACCTCTGCTGAGCAACGGCCGTTTGGAATCAGGTGGGTTAGGAAGTCGGACCGCACGCTCTCAGACCTTGTGCCCGTAGTTGTTGTGAACCGTCCGGCTAAGAGTTTATTCCATGCTGTTTACTCTTCGGTATGTACACACTTCAGTTGAAGCTAGCTCAAGTTGTGTGTAGAGCCAGAATGTCATTTGCCAGTTTTTCTATGGTTAGCTTTCTAACCATCTGAAGTAAACCAAGCAAAACAGGCATATGAGCGTTGCCTCAAAAATCAGTTTTGTGTATATTTTTCTCAAAATTTTCATACCGATTACAATCGCAAGAATGGAGTCTTGCGATGACAGACGCTTTAACTTTCGGCAAGTCGTCGAGTTTTAAGAATGTAATACAAGGTGGACTGATTGAAATGACCGTCTCACATCAGTAACTTGCCTTCTTTATTAAATTTTAAAGAATGACTATAACCACACCAGTCAGCTTTTGTATGTAATTGGTAGTTTTCGCCATCGGTTAGCTTGTTTTCACTCTTAAAGCTACAGTAAACCTAATTGCAGCAGCCTGAAGCCATTCAGTTATTAAGACAAGTCCACACGGAAGAAAATTGGCTAGAAATGGATTAGCAGTTTCCCGCAAGATGTCAGCAGTATTAGAGAAACTGGGGAATTTCTTGCTAACCTGCATGTGCAGCCAGGTGAGTACTAGTTGCAGCTAATGTTGCATAATGACGGCGACATCTAACCTGACTAAGGTGTGTCTCAGCAGTCAGTATGTTAGTAAGCCCTTTGAGTCAACGGTCTGGTTTCAAGAGTGAGTAAGTACTGTGTTTGGGGAGGGGGAGTACGAGGAAGGCGGTTTCACCTGTTTGGCTGGTTTCACGATAATTCGTATTTATAAAACTGCTGACATTGTGTCCACCGAGTCAGAGCTGAGCTGAAGTCCTGAACTACAATGCTTTTGTACTGTGATTGCTTCGTCTAATCAGCTCAAATTCATATGAAGTATTCCTCACTATGAGGAACAAACTAGTAATGATGTGTAAGACAACATCAGACTTTGTAAAACAAAATGAATGAAGCAGGGTTTTCCCCATCAGTTTACACACTAAAGATTTATTTAAAATTTCTGACTACTTAATAAGGAACATCAGCCATATTACTATATTGCTCTGGTCTGCCTAAATGTGTGAGAGTGTGTGTGAGTGAGGTGAGGTGTTGCCAAAAGGTATTTTAGTGAAATGATAAATGCCATCTTGACCGACAGACATGAAAAATCAATTTCCATTATTTCCTTTGCTCTTGCCTCATTTCGGCTCAGTGTTTACTGCACTCTGCTGTCATATGGTCTCTTTTTGTCTTTCTCTTGTAGGTGCACTTAATCATACATATATGCATCACATGTGAAGTGTCACAATGTGAAGATATTAAAAATGGTAACGATATATTTTGTCACTTGTATTCAAAATAAAAGTGTTACAGAAACATAACAGGAAAGAAGTTCAACTCACGTGCTCACAGTTTATCATGAAGTCACAAATGTTTGCAATGAAAAGCTGTTGGCATAGATGGTGTGAAATGGGTCCAAACCGCTGGCTTTCTCTGTGCAATGTCAGCTTTCCAGTTAGCAACAGGTGCATGCTTGGGACCTTAATCACTGAACAACATTGAATTTCATTGAGTAACTTGGCTTGTTATCACCAAAATGGAACCACCCATATGCAAAAAAGTTGTTCTATTAAATGGTGCAAAAAAAGAAAAGAAAAAAGAATCGGAATCTGTTTTATTAGAACAGCCATTGTTCAGCATTCACACTGTACAGTCTGGACAGGTTACTGCCAAATGAAGCACAGGCTGTGTACTTCCACCTGCATGAGCCCAGGACTAGTCAAACAAAAGCCTTTGTTCTCAGGCTTGGTGTTATTCCACCTGCATTGCAAAGTCCACCTGAAACTATTATAGAGGCAAAATAAATGGCCCCTCCCAAAAGTGAGGCAAGCTGGAGGGTGTTCACCTCTTCTAAAGGAACAGTCCTGAACATTACCAGGAATTTTGGTTTTAGTTGTTCACACAATGCAAATATAAGGAAACAATGGACAAAGCTTTGCCATCAAAGGCTTCGAATTTTTAAACTTTTGAATGGGGAGGTTAATTTTTACTAACCTTTTACAGGTAACCCTAACCCTAACCCAAAGACGAAGACGTTGCTTGGCTCAGACAGTCAGCTTGCTAAATTGATTAGGGCAATGCACTGAACGAAGCTGTTCTTTGGTTTGCTAATGGAAAAGCATAGGATATCCAAATGTAAAACCTCATGTTTCGTGTTTGCCAGCTCGATAGACACTATTAGAACATAACTGAAAACTTGACACTGTAAACATTGTTCCAGAGGATAGCCTAACCCTGAGAATGAAAGGCTCTGCACACTTAGCCTCAAGGAAGTTTGTCAGTAGATCCTCATCACGATCATTGTTGGGTAAACATGAAGTCAGAGCTTATGACATCACTGGTACTTCATGGAAATGATTGTTTATAGTGTTCTAGATTGAAACAAAGCAACTCTAGATGTGAAGATTTTGATATTAGTTTTCATAAAGCAGTGCGTATGTGTGCTCATCCAATACCTTTCTCTCTTGGATAAAAGAAAAGACCTACAACCAATTTAAATTCTAACAATTTACTTTTTTGAAACCACAAACAATTGTGGTAATGTAACGACACTGTTTCCGGGTCGAAGTGTGTGTTGGATGAGGTTCCCATCTGTAGTGCTTTGTTTCTTTTTCTGCCAAGAACTATTGAGCTGTCATTGTCTTCCTGTTAAAAGTGAGTTTTTCCTTCCCACTGTCGCCAAAGTGCTGCTCATAGGGGGTCATATGATTGTTGGGTTTTTCTCTGTATCTATGAAGCGCCTTGAGGCGACTTTTGTTGTGATTTGGCGCTATATAAATAAAATTGAATTGAATCATTAAATATTTGTAACACTATATGTTTTTAAAAAGTTGAGGTGTATATACTACAGCTGATGAGCTCCTGGTTTCTCAGGTACCAAATGTTTTAACACTTCAGATGGGTCTGGGCGATATGGCCTAAAATCCATATCACGGTATAATTTGAAGCACGTGCGGTAACGATATATATCTCGATATATTCTTTTCTTCTGTATAACGTATTTTACACACTATAAGGCACACTTAAAATCCTTTAATTTTCTCGAAAATCGACAGTGTGCCTTATGTATGAATTCTGGTTGTGCTTACTCACCTCGAACCGATTTTATGTGGTACACGGCACGCAGAAATCCAAAAATGTTTTAGTACGGCTTTGGTAAGCTATGAACCGCTTGATGGATTGTCAGAGCATTACGGCTGCCGTAGTCAGGAGCCTTGTGGAGTAATCTGGGTCCAAAACTCCGTCTGCTGCAGGTCCCAAAGTCAAACAAACACTGCGGCATCACTGACAGTTAAAAGCTGTCTAAATTCTTTCATTTTTAATAACATGATCAGCGTTGCTGCTTTACCAGGTGCAACAATTAAGTTTAACATCCAGGCATCCATGAAAACAGGATTCATTAAATTCAACGGAGTTAGAAGTTAGCAGGAAGTAACTCGCTAGTTTCCACCTAAACATGATATAGCATGTTCTGGCAGAGAGATATCTGAAAAAATTCAAACGTACAGCTCTGCTATCACTTCCAACATAAATGAAGAGAGAAAACTAAACAGCAGTGACGTTTGTAGGGTTACTGAAGTAGAACTAGTTGGTATATAACAGGGGTGCCCAATCCCGGTCCTCGAGAGCTACCGTCCTGCAGCTTTTCGATGCATCCTTGTTCCCACACACCCGAATCAAATGAATGGCTTGTTATCAGGCCTTTGCCAAACACGATGGCATGCTGAAGAGGTAATCAAACCATTTGATTCAGCTGTGTTGGAGTAGGGATGCATCTAAAAGCTGCAGGATAGTAGCTCTCGAGGACTGGGATTGGGCAGCCCTGGTATATAATGATGTGCTGCGTGATTGCTAGCAAAACAGCTACGTTAGCATAACATTAGGACAGTGAAGCTGAAGGACGAACGCTAACAGTTTTCCACTCAATAAAAGTTAACGAATAGAGCAGCTGCGAGAGAATTCAGCATTAATGAATCAATGGCACGGAAGTGGAGGAAGCGCAGTTTTTGGCTTTCCCCATATTCCAAAAGTGCTTTGTGTCTTTGCTATTACTGTCGCCCGGCATAATTTGCAAATGATATTTTTTCAGCCGCTGCAATTCTTTCGACCAAAACAGCTACCGCTTGATGACACCATCAACATGCACTAGAGCGGTATAGTCAAAATCTCAACCATTGGCCCAATTTATATCGTTTATGCCGTTTATACCGCCCACCCCTAACTTCAGAACAGAATCACTGTGTTTAGATTTCAAGCTTAAGATCAGCTGATGGTGAATAATACGCACATGTACACGAGGTTGCCTGATTTGCAAGTGATGCAGCAGATTCAGGCTCTTGCAGGTAACTGTTCTTGAAGCTCAATTCTGCATGCTCAAACCAACTGAGTGTGGAGGACAAAGCTCAAAGGAACAGGAGTCCTAATGTGATTGGTCAGGTTCAAAGCAGTGACGTTGCAGCATCTACGATGGAAAGGTTCAGGTTACTGCGTTAAACAGAGTTACACTTTGGCAGAAACATAAGCGTTGTATTAAAACATTTGTTTACAATTTTGAAAAGGACGTTTCCGAATTAGCTAACAACGGCTGTTTGATGTGTAGCAGTGAAAATACTGACACGTTTATTACATTATTACGAAGCTGAAGAAATCTAAAGGAAAACAGAAATGAAAATTGTACGCGTTTTATGCCGCGAATCATCATGATTGAACAGGTCACACAACTTGAGAGCTCACATGGTTCACCTGAGGTGGGTGATCACAGTCTCTGATCAAATGAAAATGATCAGTTTTTTACAGGTGAGGAACTATCCTATCCTAAATTCTACATTTACTTAAAAGTAGTTGATCAAATTAGTTTCATTTATACAGCACCAAA